TAACAAAACAAAAGAAAACGTTCTACCTGGCTAGGGGCAGGGCAACAAAACTATCATGGTAATTTAGTTTCTAATCTTAGCCCTAGGGGAAACAGCTTTCGGGAACAAGAGCGGACTACCCAGTCTACCAGGAAATAGAAGTTAAAAAATATCTAGAAAGAAGTAAAACTTAGAAAGACAGAGAGAAATAATTCTGCTATGCACTTTCCATCAGGTGTATTGAGATTTACTTATAAGTTTTACTGCCATGTATGCACACTGGTCACTAATCACACGCCAATATCATAGGTATAACTGATATCCTATGTCAGAGGCGATCTTCCAGATGGACCTTTACAGGCCTCAGCCATGTAGCTATAGATGTTGGCTCCCAACACCATATAAAACTAAACAGGCATCTACCAATTTAAATATTAGTTGAAGGTATTCAGGATAATTAATTTATGACTAATACTTTATGGTAAAGCTTAAGTTTTAGCTTTAGTGTAGTGCTTTGGATTGCTGTAGTTTTAAAAAGTGACCAGTGGAGAATTTGGCAATATTATCTAGCATGACTCTTGACTTCTGTTTCAGTAAGAATTCTAAGTTTATAAGCAACAGATGCCAACTCTGGCTAACTTACGGAAAAGAAGATTTATTTGAGGGATATTGAGATTTCGCAGACTTAACTGGAAGATCAGAGAGCCAAGCTTAGAAATAGGGATAACCCATACTAGCTACTAGCACAGTAGAGCTCAGAAGTGAGATTTAGAGGACTTGTATGATAACAGAAAGTATCTCACAGAATAAAGCTGTTGGAATGAATTAATTTCACCAACGATTTTCAGTTTCTTTTTCTTTCTGCTCAAGATTCAAGTTCAAAGGAGGATGAGTATCTTATTCTAGATCAGGCTTCAAATTTTCCCTGTGTGAAGGAGATAGCAGGATACTGTACCTGATTTAATTCCATGTTTTAATTCCACATTGTATCCAATATGGATGGAAATTTTCCCAAAGGAAATTGGAAGACTAATATTTTCTGCTTAGTGTATAATTTAAAGAGTAAAGAAGTCTTCTCTTTTTTTTTCTTTTTTCAGATTGAGGAGCATGCAATACAAGATTTATTGGTCTTCTATGAGGCACTTGGCAACCCTGAAGAGTTTGTCATTGTTGAAAGGACACCACAGGGACCACTGGCAGTACCTATGTGGAATAAGCACGGATGCTAGTTCATTGTGGGGTTGAAATGCATTTTTTTATCATTATGATTGGTGGTATACAGAAAAGCTGTGCAAAAGAGTTCTTATAAAATTGGTAACATTCTAGATAGAATAAGAAAGGATCTAATTCCTTTACTGCAGTTAAAACATAATGTTTATATGATTAAAATGAAATTCCTCAGAATTGTGATTTTAATAACCTTTTATGTAAAAATGTGTGAGAGAAAAAACTTATTAGGTTAAGGTTAAATAGGATTGTTTCTTCTGAGTAATCTAACAAAGGAAAATAGGAATGAATTGTAAAATATATGGCAATGTGTTAAAAATAACTTTTTTGATTGAGAATTTAAAAGATTTTGCCAAATATTTGTTGTTACTCTGCTTTTTAAGTATGGCATTGATGAATTAGGGTCATCTGGTATATTTCTGATCCATTAATTGCCAGAATTTTGTGTTTGCTATAGTAGTTGCATCTCCATTCTTGTTGCTTTTTTCATCCAGCTATGAATGTGTTCTAAGTCTCTTTAAAACTTGACATGCTCAAATGCCATCTTTGGGATTGAACAGCATGTTCTCCATTTTGCACTAAACAATGGAATATGGTGGAAAGGGAATAAGAACACTGAGTCCAAGATAATAGTTTATTTCTAAGATTTGGAATCATTGTTGGTTGATTTCTTTTTTTTTTTTGGCGAGGGGTAGGGGTGGTGGGTGGTCAGGAGGGAGGACCTTTGAAAGCCTAATTGTGAGAAAACTAATTTCTGAAAGTACTAAACATTTCTAAAATAATGCTTAATTGTACATAAAGAGTTGAATAATTTGGAAGAGGGTTGGATTATAATTACCTTTATAACATCGTATAATCAGAAGTTCTCTGAGCCTGGATTGTATGTCGAGACATAAAAATTGTTTTCTTGATATTGTGCTGTTGGATTTGTTTTTGAGTGTTTAAATTAAAAAAAAAAAAAACTGATGCTAAATTTGTACTCTAGTACGTAGGTAAATTGGAAAGGTTAACGTTCTAGTTTCTAGAAGATAAACCTAGAGGAACATACAAGCAATTCACTGCTGTAATTCAGTTGATGGAAAAATGACTGAAACTAACTCAATATTTCAGGTTTAGCTCTACCCCAAAGCAGCAGACATGTAAGCAGATGTGCAATAAAAAATACTATTGATCCATTTCACTAATGTGTGTTTGATATCTTGTGTTACTGACATCTGTTATAGGAAGAATTACTAATTATTCCTCTTAATATGCTATACTAATAGCCAGTATATGTGTAAATTAATGCTGTACTCATTCTAAGACTGCTTAAAAAGGGACAGTTTTTCAAATATGACCTTGTGAAAAGTCTCGTATTATGTGTGTTGGAGGAAATGGAGAAGAAATGGTGTTGTTACTGATGTTGTGGTAAAGAGGCTTTCTGAAGTAACTGATATATTTTGTTTGAAGCTTTTATTCTTTTGTGCATGTTGACAATTCTAATATTTAAAGATACTGTAAAGTGCTTATTTTTTGCTGTACTCCCTGCTGCCTGGGAAGCACCCTTGGGTGGGGGGGGGGTCTTTGTTGAATGGGATTTAAAGGACTGGCAAGAGCTGAATCAAGCCTGTGAGGATTTAGGCCTTTATAAACCACGCCCAGGCAGTTGCACTTTATGTTTTTGTGTGATTGTTTTTGAGTCGGCGTCTCATTTTGTCATCCAGGCTGGAGTGCGGTGGCATGATCACAGCTCACTGCAGCTTTGCTCTCCTGGGCTCGGGCAATCCCTTTGCCTCAGTCTCCTAAGTAGCTGGAACTTCAGGTGAGCACCATCATTACCAGCTAATTTTTTGTAGAAATGAGGTCTCACTGTGTTGCCCAGGCTGCTCTCAAACTTCTGGGGCTCAAGCAGTTCTCCCTCCTTGGCCTCCCAGTGTGCTGGGATTATAGGTGTGAGCCACCTGGCTTATGATTTGCTTTTTATATAATGAAATAGTACATAAAATTTTATTTGGAAAAAAGGGAGTTTTTTTCTAGGTAAGTTAAAGATAATCGCTATTATAAACTGTATTTTTCATGAAAAATTCCATGAAGATAGCAACCTGATACATTGCTACCACAAAGCTCAAGAAAGTGATATATTTTTTCCCTAACAATAATATTATTCTGCCTGCAGAATTCATTCACATCTAATCTCATGACCTCAGAAAAGACCTAATGGAACTGAAGAAAAACTAGAAACGACCAATTGAAAAGATGAGTGGTGTAGAGAGGTCTTTATGATCCACCAAAACAGCTATAGGACTCTTAAGCTGGGAAGATGATGATTGGGTAGGGCATTGGGATGAGGGGGTGTCAGAGGCAGAATATGCTTAGAATGGGCAAAATCAAGAAGACAGGTCCCGTAACATTGGTTGAGATAGATGGGATTTAAAATTGAGAAAATTTAAGAAAATCTTTGTTTATATAGGAACAACATTCTGTCATTTGAGAAGGATATTGCTGTCTGAATATATGGATTGGCTGTCTAAGTCTTTTGGAGGCAGGGTACATGTATATTTCTTCAGGATAAAGGGGTTGATAGCAGTTTCATAAAAGATTAGATCTGAAGAAACCTTATTGATTCACTTGATAGATGTTGTCTTCATTGTATAAGCTGAAGAAAGGGAGCTACAGAGAAAATGACCAAGGAGGATGAAGTCTTTTTTTTTAAAGTGGTTAATGGTTTTCTTTTTATTATTTTTTATGAAGATGTGGGATATAATTCAGGGTTAGGTATACAAATGCTGATTATGCAGGTACTCCTGTTGATGAGGTATGCCCCTCCCTCCCCTAGCAGTTTCCCGCAACTGTCATCCCATCCCTTCTCCCCTGACAATTTCCCACTACTGCCAATCCCTTTATTATAGTATTATAATTGTTCAGGGTCCACTTATGAGTGAGAACATACTCTGTTCTTTGTTTCTGTGATAGAACACTGAATATGATCGACTGTAAATCCATCCAAGTTGCTGCGAAGTCCATATGCTTGTTCTTCTTTATGACTGCATAATACTCTATTGTGTATATATGCCACATTTTTTTTTTTGAGTTGAAGTCTCACTCTGTCACCTAGACTGGAGTGCAGTGGCACGCTCCTTGCCACCGCAGCCTCAACCTGCTGGGCTCCGGCGATCCTTCCACTTCAACCTTCCAAGTAGCTGGAACTACAGGCATGTGCTACCACGCCTGGCTAATTTTTTGATTTATTGTAGAGATGAGGTCTTGCCAAGTTGCCCAGGTGGATCTCGAACCCGCGGGCTCAGGCAATCCACTCACCTCAGCCTTCCAAAGTGTGGGATTACAGGCTGAGCCACCGAGCCCAGTTTATATGCCACATTTTTCAAATCCAGTCCAACTTCGATGGACAACATGGTTGGTTCCGTGTTTTTGCTATTGTGAATAGAGCTGTAACAAACATGTTTGCAAGTATCTTTTTTGTAGAATGACTTGCATTCCTCCAGGTATATTCCCAATAGGGGAATTGCTGGGTCATATGGAAGGTCAATTTCTAGTTTTTTCAGAAATCACCACACTGTCTTCCCAGGGGTTGCACTAGTTTGCACTCCCAACAGCAGTATAGAAGCATTCCTTTTCCTCTGCATCCTTGCCATCATCTGTTGTTTGTTTTATTAATGATCATCATTTTTACTGGGGTTAGGTGGTATCTCAATGTGGTTTTGATTTGCATTTACTGATGATGAGTGAGACTGAGCACTTTTTCATGTGTCTGTTGGCTGCCCCTAGATCTTCTTTTGAGAATTGTCTATTGATGTCTTTTGTCCACTTTTGAATGGAGATGTTTGGGGTTTTTTTTCCTTTTGGTGTGTTTAAGTTCCTTGTAGATCCTAGATGTTGGGCCTTTGTCAGATATACAGTTGGCAAATATTTTTTCCAATTCTGTGGACTGTCTCTCTGCTCTCTTGATGGTTTCTTTTGCTTTGCAGAAGCTCATTAGTTTAATGAGATCCCACTTGTCTTATTTCTTAAGGTATGGGTATTGAGGGTTCTAAATAGGAATTGTTTGCCAGTTCGAATTTTCATAAGGGTGTCTCCTGCATTTTCTAAGATTCTTATAGTCTGAGGTTTTACATTTAGATCCTTGATTCCATTTAGAGTTAATTTTTGTGTATGGGGATAGGTAGGGGTCCTGTTTCAGTCTTCTGCTTGTGATCAGCCAGTTGTCCAAGCACCATTTATTGAATAAGTTCTCCTCTCCCCAGTGGTTGTTGTTGGAGACTTTGTCAAAGATGAGTTGGTTAAGAAATTGAGACTTTGCTTCCAGAATCTCTATCCCATTCCATTGGTCTATGTGCCTGTTCTTGTACCAATACCAGGCTGTTTTGATTACTGTAGCCTTAAAGTTTGAAGTCTGGAAGTGTGATACCTCCTGCTTTGTTTCTTTTTAAGGATTGTTTTGGCTATTCATGGTCATTTATGTGTCCATATGAATTTCTGTATTGTCATTTCCAGGTCTGAGAAAAATGATGTTGGTAACTTAATGGGTAGTGCATTGAATCTGTAGATTGCCTTTGGTAGGATGGACATTTTACCAATATTGATTCTTCCTATCCATGAGCATGGAATATTTTCCCATTTGTTTGTATCTTCTTGGATTTCTTTGAGCAGTGTTTTGTAGTTCTCACTGTAAAGGTCTTTCACTTTTCAGGTTAGGAATATACCGAGGTATTTCATTTTTTGTGTTGTTACTGTGAATGGGATTGTGCTTTCAATTTGGATCTCTACCTGCTTGTTGTTGGTGTATAGGAATGCAACGGTCTTTTGCACCCTGAGACTTTACCAAAGTCCTTTATCAGTGCAAGCAGGTTTTTAACAGATTCTCTTGGATTTTCAAAGTATAGGGTCACATCATCAGCAAAGAGGGATAACTTGACTTCCTCTTTTGCTATTTGGATAGCCCTGATTTTCTTCTCTTATCTAATTGCCCGAGCTAGGACTTTCAACACAATATTGAACAAGAGGGGTGAGAGTGGGTAGCCTTGTCTTGTTCCAGTTCTCAGAGGAAATGTTTCCAGTTTCTGTCCATTTAGCAATATATTAGCTGTGGGTTTATCATGGATGGCACTATTTTGAGGTATGTCCTTCAATACCTAGGTGTTAGAGGGTTTTTATCAAGAAGGGATGGATGCTGGATTTTATCAAAAGCTTTTTCTGCATCTAATGAGATAATGATATCGTTCTTGTTTTACATCTTGTTTTACATCTGTTGATATATTTAATTACATTTACGGTTTTGCGAATGTTGAACCAGCCCTGCATCCTGGGGATGAAGCCTACTCAGTCATGGTGGATGATTTTTGAGATGTGTTTTCAGATCT